TAAATATACAAATAAAATACATTTCCATTGATTTCAGAGAGGAAATTTTGTGCACTGGGCCTCTAGTCAGTGATAAGAGAGAATCATTGATTGGCTGCCACCTGCACACCCCGCGCTAGGGATTGAAACTGCAACACAGGCATGTACCCTGACCAGGAATCGAAGTATGACCTCCTGGTTCATAGGTTGATGCTCAACCACTAAACCATGCTGGCTGGGCTCATTTTTTACATTGTAAGGGCTTTGGTCACGCATCTTTGCTCTTGTAAACAGGAAGAAGAAGAGGATGATGACTGGGGGGAGGATACAACTGAGGAAGCTCAGAGACGCAGAATGGATGAAATCAGTGACCATGCAAAAGTTCTAACACTCAGTGATGATCTGGAAAGAACTGTTGAAGAACGGGTCAATATCCTGTTTGATTTTGTTAAGGTAAAAATACTTGATTTGAGAGCGGTTGCACTTTTTTTTATATATATATTTTTATTGATTTCAGAGAGGGAGAGGGAGAAAAACATCAATGATGAGAAAGAATCATTGATTGCCCCTTGCATACCCCACATTGGTGATCAAGTTCATTTGTTCTCTGTCCTCCTGAAAGTGAAGATAATTGATGTGCCTTAAAACCATGGGACTCTCTGAAAACTGCACATGGTCTCTTACAGATAAAGTGATGCAGAGTTCTTCGTGTGTTGACCATTTTGAACCACTGTTAGGGCCCTGACCAGGAATCAAACTGTGATCTCCAGGTTCACAGGTCGAAGCTCAACCCCTGAGCCATGCTGGCTGGTTTGTTTGTTTTTTCTTTGATCAATAAAACCAGCTTTAACATAGCTTTAGGCTATTGTTAAATATTATTTTAAGCTGATACTTGTCAAGTAACTTTTCATGGAATCCTTTGAATCTTCAAATGGCGAGGCTATTACTTTTTCTATTCGTTAGTTCACATAAATTTTGGGTGTGATCCCAGGCACTATTTCTGGCTGCTGTTGACCATAGAAGTCTTAAAACTGTCAAATTAAAGCAAATGTCCATGAGAGTAGGGACTAACCTGTATGTCTAGAGCAAAACATGTCTCTGTTTCACTGAATTGCTTTTATTTGCAGAAAAAGAAAGAAGAGGGTATTATCGACTCATCGGACAAAGAAATTGTTGCTGAAGCGGAAAGACTGGATGTAAAAGCTATGGGACCTCTTGTTTTGACTGAAGTTCTTTTTAATGAGAAGATTAGAGAACAGATTAAAAAATACAGGCGCCATTTCCTACGAGTAAGCAAATTTGAGATTCATAAATGAGATTAAAGCTGTGTGACCTTGGGAACATCACTTTAACTCTTGCTCATTTGTTCTCTGTCATCCTGAAAATGGACATAATTGATGTGCCTTAAAAGCATGGGACTGTCTGAAAACTGCACATGGTCTCTTTCAGATAAAGTAATGCAGAGTCCTTGTGTTGACCATTTTGAGCCACTGTTAGGGGCTATATCTTTCCTAAGGCAGTGAATGTACTTGGATGTTAAAATTACCAACTTAGAACATCTGTAAAAGCTTGTTAACACAAAGATAATCTATTTGCAGTTTTGTCACAACAATAAAAAAGCTCAACGTTACCTCCTTCATGGTTTGGAGTGTGTGGTAGCAATGCATCAAGCTCAGCTGCTCTCCAAGATTCCGCATATCTTGAAGGAAATGTATGACGCAGACCTTTTGGAGGAAGAGGTCATCATCAGCTGGTCAGAAAAGGTGGGGGATGTATGAACAGGCTCTTCAAGTGTCTTCTCATACTTGGTTTCTTTATACGTACATGAAAATGCAGTTCCTCTGCTTGACTAATGTAACGTGGAGGGGATTCCCACCATGGCAACTTGCTAGTAAGAAGCTATTCACACTCGATACTTTCTTGTGGAATATATGTATTTTGTTGATTCAAGATTACAGTCTGACCCAGTCCCCTGAGAGCTATATAAATAACTCATTTTTTCAAATTCTTCAAACTTAAGGAAACTGTACCTAATGTTCTTTAGGCCTCAAAGAAATACGTTTCAAAAGAACTTGCCAAAGAGATTCGTGTCAAAGCAGAACCATTTATCAAGTGGTTGAAGGAAGCAGAGGAGGAATCTTCTGGTGGCGAAGAAGAAGACGAAGATGAGAATATTGAAGTAAGCACTGGGGAGAGTTAAATTTAGTGGTAGTGATGGGTGCTTGAGAATTGTAAAAAGGCAAATTTGGGTGATAGAGGCAATAAGATGTCTCAATAATTTGGAGAGTAATTCTGAGTATAAAGGGTGATGGGAATCTCATATCCCCAGACATTTCAAATAAATGTCAGCATTTCCAATGTAAGTTTTAAGTACTGGAGGTTGCATATAGAGGTGCTAGTGGTCTGTAAAAATGAACAAGATCTTGGTGGTTGTGGAGCGAGCTTATTGGGGGGTGGGGGGATGTAAATGTAGAAGGGTGGATGCATCAAGGCCATTTTCTTTGTTTAGCACGGACTTAAAATACTTGTTTTATCAGGTGGTGTACTCGAAGACTGCCAGTGTCCCGAAAGTGGAAGCTGTGAAGTCTGACAACAAGGATGATGACATTGATATTGATGCCATTTAAAGGGGTGGGTGCAGCCCAGCTTATCTGTAATGCTAAGAACCTTTCTGCATCCTCAGCCAGAAGTGCAACATGTATGTGCAAAAGCTAACATGGCTTAACATCATGCTACACTTTCTGCTACAAATGTATTGCTGTGAGTGGTCTGTAATTAAGCCCCAATGAGACACCTCGGGAGTCCATACACATATCAGTGAACAGATGTAGTTTGCTTATTTATAGCATGTTTCTTTTTGAAAAATTAGTGGTGGACACATTTGGATCACATTTATACAGTTATAAAAATAAAGATTTGATTTTGGTCATTCTTAAATTTTTTGGCTCTGAATGACTTAAGCTGCTGAAACAATTGGCTCCTTTTAAAAACACTGTACCATCATTTAACCTGATAGGGATTCTTGGAGCCTGTTAGAAACTGTTAGGTGCTGAGACTGTAAGCAGGTCTTTAGCAGAGTGTGAGCATAAACGTATTTTTAAATACCTTATTCAGCCATTAAGAAACACAGTACTTTTTAAGTCTTATCTCTAGTCCCTCAAACTGGCATCTGGTCGTGTACACTCTTACCATGCCAGGGTGGGCAGTGCAACACCTTCATCTTACTAAGAGAAAAACGACCTGAGTGTCCTATACATTAATTTTAAGAGCAGGTTTTGAAACTTGAATTTTTTTTTCCAGTTCATATACCCTTGCCCCAAACTGTAGTCTTTGAAGTCATATGCATTACAAGTTGGATGAGCCAGGGGAATTATTAACAAATGAGCATTTTATGTCTATGTTAGCTGTAGCTTTGTGCTGAGAGAAAGCTCAAGCGTTAGGGTCTGATTAGATAGTTCCATGATTTTATTTGGGGGAAGAAGAAAAAGGTGCACTTAATCTCTAGCAAAAAACAGCATAATTTTTGAGCTTTTACGGTTTAAATTACAATTTCAAAATGTTTAGACTTATACTGTATGTTTTGTTCAGTGTGGATTTTCCCTAATCCTATGGCTTATTCTTGAATGCCTTTTACATTTGTACATACAGGTTTTGGTTGCTATCTTGCCAAAATTAGTGTTGCTATGTCTCAAGCTTGATTTTTTTTTTTCCCCTCTCAAAAAAATGTCTTATTTAAAAAGAAAACTAAAATTGTACCTCTAAGTCAGCCTATATTTTGGCAGGAGACTTGGGTGTCTTTTATTTCACATTGAATATAGTTAGACACTCATGAAGTCTGGTGATGGCCACTGAATACAGGTGATTAGGGCCTGGCCCAGCCCATCCAGGTCTTTAGATTTGGAAATAACTTGCGAATTCTTTCCCCAAAAATATCTAATTTCACTTGTTAAGGGTTTTGAGAAATTATTGCAGTTATTTCTTTCCATAAAAAGTGTTCTATGGGAATCAAGAATCACAGGATTCGTTTTATTTGGAGCATGGGCTTTCTTTATTCACCTCTGATTTTCTTTGATCCATCTCAGATTATAATGAGACCTTAACAAATGTATGTAAAAGTTTTTTCACATTGAAATTATACAAACATTTGATATAATAAAATCTTGTTAGCTTGATATTTTAAGAAATTAAAATCTAGTAATTTTATTGGAGAAAGAATGAATTAGTCTCCAGCTGCCTTTTGATAGATTTTGGTGAGCGTGAAGCAGAAACTGTATCTGGAGGGAATGTGCTTTGTCACACCAAAGAGAAGGGTTTTGCAAATTCACATCTCACCTAGGTTTCAAATTCTTTGCCATTGACTAATCGCTTTCATTATCTGACATCCTATAGGAGATACTGGTGGCATAGGCCAGGTTGCACTCATACCCGGTGTCAAGCTAATGAGGTTCTGTTATAGAGGCTTTTGTTTTGTTTTGTTTTTCTTTTAATCTGAAGGAAACGATGTTTAGGGCTTCTAAACACTAAATAAAATTTTGGCATAGACTGGTGTTGAGTCTGGTGCCAAAATTCCAATAGATTGAAATCCACATAAAAATTTTATTCACAGAGGCTATCCTAATAGAGTGATCCTTCACTTTGCTCTATTCAACTGTCTTAAAATTCCCTGTTTTAAACTGCTACATTACTTGATTAAAACAATGTTAAAATTATATGTGTGTCTGCTTCAATGTTAAAATTAATGTAGATTTTCAGAAGATGCTGGATTATTGAAATGTGCCCTGTTTTGTAGCTGCTGCTTTGGATCTGTGTTGGACTTTGCCTTCTGCAGTTGCCAGTCCTATTCAAAAACATGTTGCTTGTTCCCCTGAGTCAGTGGCTTTCCTTAGGTCTTGTGTTCCTGATCTGCAACTTGAGTTGATTTTAAACTGAAAGGTTCTCTGCCTTAATGTGATTTCATGAACTCTTTATGGGCACTTACCAAGGGAATTCAGATGTCAAGTATATAGAGATACTACAGGACTGGTTGCAGACCACCCCAATAAAAGTGAGTTGTAATCATTTTGCTGGTGAAGGGTCTTTACCTTCCTTCGATTTGTAAAAAATGAATCTGTGAAGCACAGTAAAAACAGGGTATGCTTGTAGTTAGTTACGTAACTGATACCGCATGTATCTTCAGTTGAGAAAGGGAAACGGAGATAGCTTTCTAAGAAAGTGTTTTGAAGTACATGAGCTTATTAACAAGGTACCAATTTGGGTCCTAAAGGTTTCTGGGTCGGGAGGGGTGTTCTCTAAATTAGTGTTCAGTGCCTCCTACCTTGGGGTATGTGGGACTCTTTGCCTTCTGGGTGGGGGCACATCTGGAAATTGGAAGCTACTCCCTGTAGTTGAGTGCAGTGGTTAGTGAGGAGGCGGCAGCAGGGCCTCATCCTCAAGCCTAAGGCCTGTGCACTGCATGAGCCTTACAAACTGCAGGAAGAGAATCACATTTGCATCATCCAGCTGCATGAGAAGCTAAGAGGGGAGAGGTAAAGGCCATCCTGTAGCTGACAGCAGTTGCCATGAGTGTTAGACTGGTCAGACAAGGATGCACTTTAGCCTAGAAAGATGAGGGTCCCAAAGCAGCCTTGGCTATCCCAACAGTACAGAGTCCTAGATTGGAGGGATTAGCAGGCCCATCCCAATAAAAGTGAGTTGTAATCATTTTGCTAGTGAAGGGGCTTTCCCACAGGCAAGAAAGACTGAGAATTCAGGGCTAACCAAACCTTCCTCTTTTGTACATCTTACTGGGTTTGGGTGAAGACCAGCATCCAGGAGGATTTCTCTGGAGGCTTGGCTCCTGAGGAGACACAGTGCTGGGACAGCCCTCTGTAGCTGCAGCTCTTTTTTTACGTATTCTTACCTTTTTTTTGAGAGGGAGAGAGAAACATCAATATGAGAGGGAAACAGATCAGCTGTCTTCCATATGCATCCCTATCGGGGATCAAACCCACCACCTTTCAGCATACAGGACAATGCTCCAACTAGCTGAGCCAGACCATCCAGGCCTAGTCAAGTACTTTTGATAAGAAGTAACCCTACGTTGAGCCCATTGGAGGGGGAAAGATGGTGGTAACCTCACTGCACAAGCCTGGCCTTGTGAGGACCCAGGTTACACCAGCTTCAGCCTTGTGTACACATACCAACAGGCTTTAGAGATCTGGGCAAGAAAGCATCCCTCCAGGGCTGCCCACCCGGCTGCTGCTCTGTGGGTCTCTATCCGTAATCTTCCTGGCACGCTGGAACAACACGCACCCTCTTCATGACTTCAAGTCTCTTTCCGGTTCCATACAGCCAGTTCTCCAAACTTCCCAATTCACCTTCCTGGGAAGGTGTCTGTAGGCTCCACTGGTAGATGAACATTTCTGTCAGGTTGATCACTTCCAGCCACCTAGAGGGCTCTTTTGGCAGCTCCAGTCAACTGTGACCAAGAGGAAGCAGGGCATCACCTGGGGCTTGACATGTGACTGCCAAAGTCTGCCTCAGTAAGGGTTTGTGATTGGGTCAACAGGAACTCCTGGCACTTGGAGACAGAGCAAGTTGCTTTCATTGGAACCTATTTACCCCGATTAGCAGGCTCTGAGGACATCTCGGCAGCTTTACAACCAGTCAACCAAAAGCATGTGGATACCACCCTTCTGTGAGCATCCAGCACTGGGATCTTACAACCTGGTGTGGGCGGCACAGTTTGCCATTTGGAAGCCACCAGAGGTCCCGTGAGAGGTGGTTGTGAACAGTTGTGATTAGAGTTCAAGTGAAAGACTGTCAGGAAAGATTTCCTGGGGGATGCCTTGTGGGGTTGCTGAGTTAGGTAATATCCTCCGGGCCCCAAATGGGAGAGCCCAACAGAGACTCAAGGAGCACATTGTGAGGAAATCCGCAGGCTACACAACACAGGACATCCGGAGAGGGACAAGTTGCACAAAGGGAAGAAGGTTGTTGAACTTTGGGACCTTTGACATATCTAAGTGGAGAAGGTCCAGGGGGCAGCTGGATATGAGGATAGAGCTGAAAGTCCTGATTTGGAAGCCTTATCTGTCAAGGCAACAGCAGAATCTGCTCCAAAGATTGACATCTGTAAGGGCAGGGACAAATCTAATATCTGCATCCCAAGTCCCTAGAACAGTTTGCACATAGAGGGGGATACCCAGGGAATCATCAAGTTTCTGGATGGGTTATGGGTGGATAGAGCTGTGGGTGGGTGGGTGAATGACTAGATACACTAGTGGATAAATGGATGTTTGGGTGAATATAAATAGATGGATGAATGGATGGGGCATTGGGAGGTGACTGATTTAAAACATGCTTTCCCCTCCAAGCCAATTCATACATAATTCTATAAAGACTACATGAGAACCTGGGTTATTTTTCCCATTCCTTTAACTTTTTAAGTATTTATGGAAATGATTATTTTATTTTTTTTAAATTTAGAGCCCATCCTAAGTCGCCCAATGGTTGAGTGTTAACTTATGAACCAGGAGGTCACAGTTGGATTCCCATTCACATACCTGGGTTATGGACTCGACCCCCAGTAGGGGGCATGTAGGAGGCAGCTGATCAATGATTCTCATTTCTATTTCTCTCCCTCTCCCTCTCTGAAATCAATAAGTACATATTTTTTAAATTAGAGTAAGAAAGAAACATCAATCAGCTGCATCCTGCACATGCTCCAACCAGGGATCAAACTGTCAACCTGGGCATTTGTCCTGACAGGGAATCAAACCCACTGCTTTCTGGAGTGCTTGGACATCAACCAACTGCTCCACAACTAGCCAGAACGATGGTGGTGTTTGTTTTAGTTTTTTTAAAGAGCAATGAATAACACAAGAATAAAACAACCAGGTATGTCCCAAGTGTGCATTAAAAGAGCTACACAGAGCCAAAACCGGTTTGGCTCAGTGGATAGAGTATCAGACTGCGGACTGAAGGGTCCCAGGTTCGATTCCGGTCAAGGGCATGTACCTGGGTTGCAGGCACATCCCCAGTGGGGGATGTGCAGGAGGCAGCTGATCGATGTTTCTCTCTCATCGATATTTCTAACTATCTCTCTCCCTTTCTCTCTGTAAAAAATCAATAAAATATATTTTAAAAAAAAAAAAGCTACACAGAAATTTAGAAAACAATTGTGACTTCTGAGATTGTTGGTTGAACCCAATTAGACACCAATCCTGAAACTACACCAAAATATTAGGAAAAGAGGATTCTGGGAAGAGTGAAGCGCCAGGAATCTGTCTCCCCACCTAACAATCACACTGGCTGAATCTGTCTGATATGACTATTTTGGAACTTGGGAGGCTTTCAACTTCCTTGGACAATAGAATTACAGTTCCTTTTGGTTCATTTTGGACTCTGGCACAGTAGTAGCTTACCTATTCTCCCCCAACATGCACACAGCTTTGAGGAAGTAGTGTGGCCCACAGAGACCCTTTTGCTGATAAATGCTGCTTTGGGTAAGTGTAAAGAGTAGGGAAGCCATTGTTGCACCTCTCCGCAGTGTTGCCTGTTCTCAGGCCGAAGTAACTTCTGGGAGATTTAAAGACTTGGTGCCCTGCTTCCTGCCTCTCGTTTTCTCATTTTCACCTTCTGGGAACCAGACTACGACATTTATTAGGTCATATTGGCAAGCAGCTGCATATGTACAGAAAATGAGACATTGACCACATATGCCCAGGGAAAGGCAAAGGCCCAGAGAGACCTGGGGAGACCGGCCTTCATGTTTATCCTCAGGCTGAGCCTTGGCACAGACATAGCCTATAAAAATAATAGTAACAAATGGAAAACAAACCCAGCTGCCCTGGGGGGAAAGGAGAATCTGATTTCCAAGGTTAACAGGCTCAAATGTCCAGTGTACACCAATATATAACAGCAGGGAAATATGGCCCACCCAAGGAAAAAATCCACAGAAACTCCCTGAAAAAGACCTGATAGCCGATCTCATGGACAAAGATTTTAAAGCAGCCATTTTAATGATACTCAACGAAAGGAAGATGTGGAGGAAGTCAAGACAATATCTGAGCCAAATGGAAATATTAATAAAAAGTTGCCGAAACCGGTTTGGCTCAGTGGATAGAGCGCCGGCCTGCGGACTGAAAGGTCCCAGGTTCGATTCCAGTCAAGGGCATGTACCCTGGTTGCAGGCACATCCCCAGTAGGAGATGTGCAGGAGGCAGCTGATCAATGTTTCTCTCTCATCGATGTTTCTAACTCTCTCTCTCCCTTCCTCTCTGTAAAAAATCAGTAAAATATATTTTAAAAAAATAAAAATTCTGGAGCTAAAACATGCAATAACAAATGAAAATTTCACCAGATGGAATCAAAGGCAGAAGGAAAAAATAGGTGGACTTTTAGCTAGGGCAATGGAAATTATTCATTCTGAAGAACAGAAAATGGAAGAAAAGTAAATAGAGCAGAGCCTGATTAACCTGTAGGACACCACTAAGAAGACCAACATGTGTTATGGGGATCTCAAGAATAGTGGCTGAAAACTTCCCAAAGTAAACGAAAGACATGCTCAACAAATTCCAAGCCAGATCAACTCAGAGAGTCATAATCAGATTTTTGAAAGACAAAGAATCTGGGCCCTAACTGGTTTGGCTCAGTGGATAGAGCGTCGGACTATGGACTGAAGGGTCCCAGGTTCGATTCCAGTCAAGGGAACATGCCTGGGTTGTGGGCTGTGGGCTCGATCCCCAGTTGGGGGTGTGCAGGAGGCAGCCGATCAATGATTCTCATCATTGATGTTTCTCTCCCTCTCCCTTTCTGAAATCAATAAAAATATATATTAAAAAAAAAAAGACTCTTGAAAAAACAATCTTAAAAGCAGCAAGAGGGAAACAACTCATCACATCCAGGGATCCCCCCGACCCCAGTAAGATTATCAGATTTCTCAGAGGACGGAAGGTAGTGGTTTAATATACTCAAAATGCTTTAAAAAGTTGCCTGGCCTGTGTATCCCAATGGTTGAGCTTTGACCTATGAACCAGGAGGTCATGGTTTGATTCCAGGGTTGTAGGCTCAACCCC